AAAAACATACATACACACACAGAGATATTCTCACTTAATTCTCATCTTTCCTTTCCCTTAACTGACATATTTATCCATGTTAAAATATGGACAAAGCCACCAACAGCTTAAAAAATTATATTATGCATAATCAGAATAATTTCTTGGTTTGTGATTTGGGGGACAACTTAATAATATGCTGATTACAAATATTCTTTTCTTTTTTCTTTTTGGTGGCTGGCTGGTATGGGGATCTGAACCAATCACCTTAGTAGTTACCAGCACCACACTCTCCCAGGTGAGCTAACCAGCCAGCCCTGATTGCCAATTTTCAAAAGAGATGTTTTAATAATAATTTATTTACTTCTGAACAATCTTTTTTTTTTTTTTCCTTTTTGTCTTTTTTCGTGACCGGTAACGGGATCGCAACCCTCGGTGTCGTGACCGGCAACGGGATCGCAACCCTCGGTGTCGCGACCGGCAACGAGATCGCAACCCTCGGTGTCGTGACCGGCAATGGGATCGCAACCCTCGGTGTCGCGCCCGCACCGCGCTCAACCAGTGAGCAGACTGGTCTCTATATGGGATCCGAACCCTTGGCGGGAGCGCCGCCATGCTCTCAAGCGCCGCACTCTACCGAGTGTGCCACTGGGCCGGCCCTACTTCTGAACAATCTTTAAATTGAGCTCCTCTCACCTAAATAATCTATCTTACTTAAGATTATAAAGACTTTACAGTTTTACCAGCAGGCTATTACTATGGCTTAGAAGGGAAAACAATACACGTGGTTACAGTCACCTTTGAATCTTCCAATTACTCCGAAGTCTTTTCTGCATGGATTTATAGCCATTATTGTTGGTAAATACCTCCTTTTTGTATGCATTGAAAAGAATGGTGCTCTGAAGTTCTTTCTCCATGATTACCTTAAGAAAGACAGGATCAGAAAAATAAAAACAATAAACAATATTCTAAAAGAAAGATCTCCAAAAGGAATACATAGTTACTTTCCACTTCTAATTTATCAAGAAAGGGTATACAATTGCAACCTATCTATGAAACCCCTACAGTTCTCAAGGGTTGAGAGTGAAGTGCACAATCACAGCTGCAGAAACCTAAAGCCAAACCCAGTCCACCCTCAGCTTTTGCTTCTGGTCTCTTGTTCTGGCCTTGCCACCAGCCTACTCCCACAGCCCCACCATCACCCTATTCTACGCTCTGGGACCATATTTCCAACCTGATCCTCACTGCTAACTACTGTTAAGTGTGAGGTATATTCTTGTAGATTCTCTCTTTTTTTTTCCTGAGATAAATGCTGTACAAGAGTAGATTCTTTTCATATATATATATATGTATATATATATATAAACTTATAGTTATATTTATGAAATAGGATCTTACCATACGCACTATTCTGCAACATACTTTTTTGACCTAACCTTGTATCTTTCTATGACATCTTTCTGTGTCAGTACCATAATTTATTTAACTAGCCATGTAATGACTGACATGTATTTTTTTCAAATTTTTGCTAGTAATACAATGCTAAGAACATCATTCATCATTGAACATGATGTTTTTGTGCACTTTGCATATTTGTAAATTCCTACCTGTTGAAAGGCTGAGTAAATCATTTCCAAGTTGCCCTCCAAAAAATTGTACTAAATTATACTTCTACTAACACTAATACATTTCTATTTCCACACAAGCCTATCTATTTCCAATCTTTGTCACCTCTGCCAATAAAAAAGGCCAATAAAACGCTATTTGTTTTAATTTGCATTGAAATTAGTGAGATGGCCATCTTTCACTATATATATAGGGAATTTGTATTTCCTCTGATTTTCTTGTTCATGTACTCTGCTGATTTTTCTATGGGGTTTCATATTTTTTCTAACTGATCATTAAACAAACACTTTCATAAGTTTCTGTCTTTAGACTTAGGTTCTGGTAACTTTTTTCGTTTTTGGTTGAATTTTGCAGGCCATATAGAAGGTTTTAAAGTTCATAGAGTCCAAATACTAATGTTTTCCTTTCTGGCTTCTGGATTGCATGACGCATTTAGAAGAGCTTTTGCCATCCAACAATGTTTTCTGTCAGTATTTTCATAATGTAACTTTTTAACATTTAAATTTTAGTCCATTTGGAATTTATTTTGGTGCTCAAAATGAGCTTCATTATTTTTCTCCAAATTACTAGAAAGCTTCTAGACACCAATCCTTTTCAATGCTGATGTGAAACACCACCTTGACTATATAATAAATCCCTACATATATCTATGTCTTATTCTGAATTCTATTATATTCTACCTGCTTATAAATTCCCACTCAGTTCCATACTAATTTAATTACTCTACCTTTATGTTATAATATCTGGTGAGGCTGAAGAGCTAATCCCTCTATTACCTTTAATTTTTACAATTTCTCTGGCTACTTTCACATATTCTTCTTTATGAACTTTAAAGTCATTTTGTCCGGCTGAAAAAAAAAATCCATGATCCACCATTACGACACAGCTATCTTTTTATGTTCAATCCCATGCTTGTTTCACACTGTGTACAAACAATATTGTATTCTGCTTTCTCCGTTTCCTGAAAGAAAAGTCTTCATGATTAGGTTAGTGATTGCATGATCTATTGCATGGTTATGCCATAATGAACTTAACCATTGCCTTCATGGGTATCTTTTCAGCATTTTACCATCATAGATACTATTGGAATTTACACATTTCTGTTTTTGCCACTAATTATTTTTGCCGAAGAACACATCCCTAGGAAAAGGGGATAAACTCCTTCTGGAGGTTTACGTCTCATAAAGGGAGAGCATAATGAAAGCTACACTTCCAGTCAACAGCTACAGCTCAGCCCTGGTGAGAGCAGCAGATCTGGGTTCCTGTACTGTCGGAATTATCCAGAATTGAATTTCCTTAAAAATAAGAAAGGACTTTAAAACAATAAAAATAATCAGCATTTGGGTAGCTCTGTCCAACCATTCTCTCGCTTTCTCTTCAATAACCTTACCGGTCACATTAGCATTTTGCCAGATGAGTGATAAAAAGACCAAGGGTGGCAGCAATGACAGAACATAGACTATGATCTTATGGTTCTTCGTCCAGTGCTCTTCCATACTCAGTAGGGTGACTAAATATCCGCGCGGTCCGAAGCGATGGAGACTGGAGCTATTGGAGCCACTGGAGCCGGGACTGCGGCCTATATCCGCGCCCCCAGTTTCCTTTACACCAGCAGACTTCGGGTTTTCCTTAAGACTGGTTCAGGGGCTTCAAGGACAGTGTGGCGAGGCCTTCGTCAGCTCTCAGGCCGCCCCAACGTCCCGGCCGGCCCATCACTGTCGGACCCCTCCTTACCTCAGGCCCAGCGACCACCATCACCACCTGACACCGCCCAGCATCCCTTGTCCAGGTATCCAACGCCGCTTAGCAACGGCGGCGGCTCTCCGACTCGCTGGGAAGGCGTGGCCTCGGACGTAGATCTACCTCCAAGGAGACGTGATAACGACAGAACGGAAGTCGCACGTTCGCCGTGGACATGCGGAGGGAGGGAGGTGGTAGGCAGGGGGCGGGGCTAGTGCGGGGCTGTACCATTACTTTGGCTGAGGAGTAAATCCAAACACAGCGATCAACTTTTTGCCAAAAATAGCCCATTTCGTTTGTTCTTTAATATTAGATATTATTAAAGGCTGATAAAAATGGTAAGTGTCAAAGGGCCAAACCACACCCCACCCCGAGGGAGGAGAATAGCGAAGGCTTCCGGCAGGGGCGGGGCTTCGCTGCTGCGCGCGCGCGCGCGCGCGCGATTCCCAAAGCGCAGGCGCAGAGTGGAGGGGCCGGGCGGGGCGTCTTTGCCGCGGCGATCCTGGAGCTGGGTGAAGCCTCGGAGCTAGTGTGTTAGGTTGCCGGCTGTTGGGGACTCGTACCTGGAGGCTTAATTCGTGAAGCGAGAGGATTGGGAGGCCACGGAAGACTTCCCGAAAGAGGGTGGGCAGGTTTAGTGCTGAGAATGGTATCACAAGGTAGTTCTTCCTCTTTTATTAACCCACGTCTTTGAGCGCCACAGTGCCAGGTTTGAGTAAAAATATAAACTGTATTAGGAAGTTGTGAGGGGTCCGAGCTGGTCGGAAAGGCGCTCCCGTTGAGCAGAGATCTGAAAGAAGAGTGGTATTCATTAAGGCACGGGCTGTGCAAGGGCGTTCAGGGCAAAAGGAACTTTTTTTTGCTTGTGCGAAAGAGCCATCGTGGCATACAGGTTGCCCTGCCATCGCCATGAAATTGGGTAACTAGCCACCTGCAACCACAAACAGGCCACCCTTCTCTGCCAGGGAGCCCTCTGTGACTGCCCTGAGAGGTGTGTGGAATTGTGTACAACGCTGCACAAACCGATGAGTACAGAGACATCTGACAGTTTTGATTTACATTTATGTTAGTCTTCAACACGTACAGAGTGGTAGGTGTCAGGATATTAAAGCACAAACACAAGTCGTGTTGCCTTTCCACAACTACTGTCACTTTATGAAGTGGAGAAGAGTCTGATTGAGAATTCTCGGAGATTCTGTATTTCGATGCAAAATTGGGTGAATACAGCCTAAAGTTAGGGATAAAAACGGAAGTGATGTATTCTCACTGGAAAGAGTAGGCTGTGCCACTTGAGGGTTGGAGCAGGTCTTGGGATCCTTCTGCCTGTTGTGCAGTTAGTGTATAACAGGCACCTGCCCAGAGCATTTCTCCCACTTTTGGAGATTATAGAAAGAGCAAGGATTTTAGAATCAGCTACCACCATGTTCAGTTCCTGGCTGTGGCTTGTACCAGCTGGATGACCTTGGGCAAGTTGCTTAATCTCTCCAAGCAAATGTTTCCTATTTGTAAAGTGAAGTTAATAATTTCTAAACACTGGATTATAATGAGGATTGTAGATAATGTGTATAAAACTTGGAATGTGTTCCACTGGCCATCCACCAAAACAAAAAACAAACTTGGAATGTGCTCAGTGAATATAGGCATAGCACGATCAATTCAATAGCATAGTTTTTTTTATTTTTATTTTCTATCCCAGTGAAACATTTTGTGATTTTACAATCTTAGAACAGGTAGAACCATTATGTTTCACAACCCATAACTTGTTATGTACTTTTTTTTTTTTTTTTTTTGTCTTTTTCCGTGTCCGGCAACGGATAGCAACCCTCATTGTCGCCCCCGTACCGGACCGGGACCAGCAACGGGATCGCAACCCTTGGTGTTGCCCCCGCGCCTCGCTCAGCCAGTGAGCGGGAACCGGTCTGTATGTGGGATCCGAACCCTCGGCGGGAGCGCCGCCGCACTTCCCAAGCGGCGCACTAGCGCAGTGCGCCACCGGGCCGGCCCCTTGTTATGTACTTTTAACTACTATCCCGTTTCTGACAATTACACTCTTGTTTTTTGCTTTGGGAACTTGGGAGGATTTTGGTCTCATTTTCCACATTTATCAATTTACAGTTACTATTAAGATGGAAATCAAAGTGTTTCAGAGTTCTCAGCGCATGTCAAGCTTAACATTAACCCTTTCCTGACTCAAATTTGATCTCCAGTAGGTCAGTGTCATTGGTGTTTTTTCCATGGTCTCCCAGCCTTGACCACCCTAATTCCTGGGGCAGGGGGCTGGGTGGACAAAAAATGGAAGGGAAAAGAGTGGGACTGAGTTAAGTAGAAAAGGCAATAAAATCACCAACACACACTGATCCTAAGAAAATTCCTCCCTTTGTCCCAAACCTAAAAGCTAAGAAGGCCACCCTAAAGTATGAACAACAGGTTTGTGAAAAAGCAACCACTTTTCCACTGAAATAAGGCAGCATGATCCATCTCACAAGTGCAGGGTGTCCTGAATTCTTGAGGTGTGGACTTATGCTCATGTCCTGTCCAATCAGAATCACCTTTTGAAATGACTGATCCTGAACACATGGAGCTCCATGGGTGGCCAGGATGCTCTGGTCATCAAGTCTGCAGCAGGTCTATGCAAGGCCTGGCCTCCTCATGTGAAGTAGAGCACAGCATGAACTTGGCAGCCAAGCTCAGACCATGAGCGAGCATCCAGTTGAATGTCTCCTTTTCAAGACCCCATTTCTCACAACTGGCTTGTTTCAGCCAGTTCTTGATTTGGTTCTCATTAGATATTTTGAATCATTCTGCTTGGACCTCACAGCCAGAGTGAAGGGCAGACCAACACAAAAGTTAAATGTGACAGCCTCTGGAATCAGCGTATATTGCTCCATGTCCCAGCTCTGGCCCTTGTTAACCACATGACTGTCAGGCAAGAAATAACTTCTCTGATGCTGTTTCTTCATTGGTAAAAAAGAGGATAGTAATAATTTCTGTCTTAGGGTTGTTTGGATGAAAACTGGTAACAGACATGAAAGAGTCTAGCACAGAGACTGGCCCAGTGTAAGCAGCTGATCTGAAGCTGACTTTAGGCCATTAAGCAAGGAGTGTGTCATAAGGACCAGAAGCTCTCGAAATCATTAGGAAAGTTAGAGAAGGGGGCTCAAGGCTTCCAGGAATGATACTGCAGTGCTGGTCTCGTGAGCAAACTGCTGCTTTTGCTGCCACAGAGTACCAATTGCTACAATTTGCATTGTTCCCCCTTCTACACCAGGAACTCAGTTTTGTGGGTACTGTTACCTCAGTTACCACATGAAAGAGAACTTCTGGTCCCTTCCTTGGGTCAAAGTCTGGTACAGGTGTACCCCCGGGCCACATTCCTGGCCCTAGCTCAGGCGAGGTTGGGAAAGTCAGTAACTAGCATTTTCAGTAACTCTAAATGGAGGTAGTTATTGCCCCTCATGAAGGCTCATAAAGTAGGGGATTCCCTGAATATAGGAAGGGGCTCAGATACTAGGCAGCCAAACCCAAAACAAATGTCCAGTACTATCCACAACAAAGACAGACACCATCAATAGAGAACAATAACAGATGTTGGGTAATACCCTGCAGGCTTGTTACATCTGTCATTTTACACATTTTACACATTGAGACCAAAATCCAAACACCAAGAGGTCCTCTGGTAAAGAGTGCTGGTTGCCCATCCAGCACTCTCCCCTTCTCCCTTTGTGTCAGAAGCCCTTTGTTACTAAGAGTAGTCATTTTCCCAGCTAATAAGCCACATATCCCAGCCTTCATTGCAGGTAGGGGTGGGTGGTTAATAGGATGTAAGCAGAAGTCATTGGGTGGGGCTTTCGGGAGGCTCTTTAAAGGTTCCCTTTTGCTCTTCCCTCCCTGTCCTCCTTTTTTCCTGCTCAGAACACAGAAGTGGTGGCTAGAGCTCCAGTAACTATCTTGTGATAACGTAGCAAATCTAATATTGGAAGCCGTTTGCCAGATGACAGAGCAGAAATACAGAAAGCCTCTGGCCCACCCAACACTATTCTTTTGTGATGGAAAAAAATAAACCTGTTTCTCATTTAGGCCATTGTAACATTGAGTCTCTGTTACTAGCAGCTGAAGGTAATTCCTTACTTATACCAGCTGGCCTCAGTGGTTTCACAGGTGCTTTTCTACCAATCCAAGATGTCATCATCCTCCGGCACATATGAAAATCCCAGGAATGCACCTGACGCCCCAGAGCTGCTGGCCACAGTGTCAGGGGTGCAGCCGATGGACTTGGACACGGCTTCCTGGGTGAACTCTGGGTCAAAGTGTTTCAAGTCAGCAGGTCCTGCCTGTCAATGTAAACCAACGATGAGAAGGGAAGCCTGAGGTCAGAGCTGCCAAAGGAGCCCAAAGCCCCAGAGGATGTCAGGCCTCCCCTTGAGTGCCTCATAATCATCCATACCTACCTGTCACTTTCCCATGCCTTTACATTAATCAGTTTATTCCATGTGGTCGACTCTTCTAACCCTCTGACACCCTTGCTCCACACCAACCCTCAGGCAAGGCAGTCAGTCAAAATGTGTTTACTGAAGGCCTAACTGAGCACTGTTCATGGCACTGGGAATACAGGAGAACACAATGGAGTGAGCTGCTGCTTTCAGGGAGCTTACATTATGTAAGGGTAGGAGGACTGATAATAAGCATGTATACACATTGATCATTCAGGGGGTTCATAGGTCCAGTAAAGAAGATAAAACAGGGTAAAACGGTAGTGATTGGGGCTGCTTTTGCTATCTTGGAGGAAGACCTGTGTGGGAGATTGCAAAAAATGATCAAAAATTCTCCATTGCCCATTCAGAAGTAGAGTCCATTTCTCTATCCCTTCAGTGTGGATTAGCTACATGACTTGCCTAAGCCAAGGGAACATTACCAAATGTGATGCAAGTGGAGGCTTGACAGAAGCACACTGACAACTGTTTCTCTTGCTGCACTTGGAACCCTGAGGCCACCATGTGAACATGTCCAGACTATCCTGGTGGAGTGTGAGCAGCCTCATGAAGGAGAACCTAGTTGCCCTGGCTGCCTGCCAGCTCCTAGACATGCAAGTGGGGCAATTCTATACCATCAATTGCCGGCTGTCCTGCTAGCTGACCACAGTTGAGAGAGAGCTCTGCACAAACCAGCTGCCCTGGCGCAGACTAGGAAAACCAAACCATGTAGCTGACCCATAGACCTGAATGAAATAAAAGATGGTTGTGTTAAGCCAACTAGTTTGGGGGCAGCTTGTGCAGCAACAGCTGACCAATACAGTCTCTCTGTGGGGGAGGCACAGTCTCTGGAGAAGATGATTTTTGCTCCCTTAGTGTCAGAAGCCCTTTGTTACTAGGGGTAGCCATTTCCCAGCTAATAATCCACATATTCCAGCCTCCACTGCAGGTAGGGGTGGAGGGTTTTCTGAAGTAAGCAGCAGAGCAAGTGGAAGGGTCTACAAATCTGCTTTAGTATGCAAGTCCTGGGCTGTGGAACCAAACAGATCATGATTTCTTGCTTCTGAAAAAGGCCATAGGGTACAGAGGGCTCAGCCCAAGGCTCAGAGTTCCAAGAAAAGAATGTGAATCCAGGCCCTGGCCCTTGTTATTCGTGTGGCCCTAGACACAGCGGGTATTTTCTGATGTTTACAGACGCAGAAATTGATGGTAAAGAGACTTATTTAGGGTCTCACAAGTGGTAGATGGCAGAGCCAGGAACCCTCCCCAGTATATGTCACTCTAAGGCACATTGCTGCATTATATTGCATTCCTGCCTATTATTCCAGGTATCACTCTCTCTCCAGGGTGTATGTTCAACATTATCTTCACTGTCTTTTTTAAATCCCAAGAAAAAGAAACTTCTCAGGTGCCTAGATTGTGTGCATCCTATCTGACAGCTGTTGTCACGAATCTGATGCTCAAAGATACATTCATGAACAGGTAATTCACCGAAGGAAAAATGTAATGTAAATCGGAAAAACACAGGCAAGGCAGTGTTTAGGTGTGCAGACTGCTTGGATGGAGGGGGCTTGACACCATGCTTTACAGGTGGCTGAGAGAACCTTGCATGTGCACTGCAAATTCATATTACCACTGCTAATTAACATTTTAAAACTAACCACCTTCACCATAAATCAAAGAAATATAAATCAAAACAATAAGAGATGCCATTTTTTACTCACCAGGTTTGCAAGGTAAAAAACAATAATAAGGACGCATGCTTCAGAGAGTGGGTAAAAGGAAAACTCTCCAGCAGATGCTACTGGTAGGAAGGCGATTGCTCTCCCTTACATACAGTGGACAGGGGGTATGAATCAGGAACCTAACAACGTTCTCATTCTTTGACCTGGCAATTTCCCATCTGGAATCCTTCTTCAGGAAATAATTAGAACTCTAGGCAAAGATATATATTTAAAGATATATATTTAAAGATGTTCATCAGCACATTATGATAGGAAAAAAATGGTAACAAACTAAAATTCAACATTAGGAGCATGGGCCGGCCCGGTGGCGCACTGGATAAGTGCGCCGGCAGCGCTCCCGCCCGAGGGTTCGGATCCCACATACAGACCGGTTCCCGCTCACTGGCTGAGCGAGGCGCGGGAGCAACACCAAGGATTGCAATCCCGTTGCCGGTCCCCGGTCCGGTACGGGGGCAACACTGAGGGTTGCGATCCGTTGCCGGACACGGAAAAAGACAAAAGACAACATTAGGAGCATGGATGAGTAAATTATGTTACCAACAGAAGACTGAAATATGCAGCCACTAAAAATGACATTTATAAAGTTTTATGCAACATGGGGAAATAATGACATAGTTTTTGGACAAAAAACAGGAGAATGGGGAAGATATATGAGGGTACTTCAAAAAGTTCATGGAAAGATTTGTATTATCTTTCAATTCTATTTTTCCATGAACTTTTTGAAGTATCCTTGTGCTTCTCTTTATATACAGAATGACCCTGAAACATCACACGTACCCCATAAACATGTACAATTAAAAATAAAAAAATTTTAAAAACATATAACCTAGGTATGTAAAACACACACACACACACACACACACACACACACACACACACACACACACACACACAGACTGCCCCATACTGGCCAGCCACAAAAAAAAAAAGAGAAAAAAAAACTGTAAGGAAATACACCAACAGAGGTTTCCCTTCTCTGTTTCACACACTTTCTACAAGGAATACATGTCATTTTTATTTTCAGGAAAAAAAAGTATAAAAATAGAAAAAGATAAAAATTTCTCTGTAGGGCTTGGCTCTGCCTGGGTGTGCTACATGACACCAAGTACTTTTAAAACTGCAAAAGGCTGCAATGTTGGTTACTGGTGCTAAGGATAAAGGAGCACTTTAAAAACTGTAAAAAGCTTTGTAATGACTCATCGGTGCCAGGATAAAGGAGCAACAACATGTCTCATCACCCAAGAGCTAAACCAGCAGTCAAGACTGTTGGGTTCTAGATCCAGTTCTACCTCTAAGTTATGTGTGGCCTTGGACAAATCACTGAGCCTCTTGGACCCTCAGTTTTTCCATCTGTGTAGGGACAGTTGGCCCAGATACCCTCCAAGCTCCCATTAGCCCTGGAAATCCAGAATCTAGAATGCCGTGATGTCTTACCACATTTGGGTTGAAGGGTGGAGTCAGCCTCTTGTGATACAAGTCATCCCAGTTTATGGGGCTGAAGAATACATGGTTCTTAATCTCAAGCTGCAGGAAGAAGGTGCTGATCAGAAGTAGTCCTCCCAGGGGGCTAGCTGGTTAGCTCAGTTGGTTACAGCGTGGTGCTGATAATACCAAGGTCTAGGGTTCAATCCCTGTACAAGCCGGCTGCTCACAAACAAACAAACAAAAAAGCAGTAGCCCTCCCCATAGGTGTTCCCACCCCATCCCCACATCCTTTAAAACCCCTACTCTTCTGGCAGCTGGCTGGCAACTTGAAGTTCTAGCTGCTTTCCTGGGACAAGAGAGCATTCTTCAGCCAGGCCCCTGCCCTCTATCATCACCCAGAACCCAAACCTTTCTCCCGCATAGCATTTATTTATTACAGAACTATTTACTGAGCACCTGCACTGTGGTAGGCTTTAGAGGTATGTCAGTGAACAACACAGAAGAACATGTTCTGGGGAGGGAAGGGTAGTCCCAGGGGGAAACTGGGACCTCTCCCCCTACTCTGCCCCTGTACATCTTGAGTCTTCCAGAATGCAAACCAAAGAAATAAACCAAATCAACTAACTAAAGAATGTTTGAGAAATAAACATTTGTTTTTTCTATGCGGGTTTTTTTCATAGGTTATATGTTTTAAATTTTTTTTATTTTTAATTGTACATGTTTATGGGGTACAGTGTGTTATTTCAAGAAAAGCTGCAGATTCCCAGAGACCCAGAATTTAGGACACAGCGCTGGGCATGATTCATCACTTCTTTCCTAATCAAAATAAACACTGGCACTAAATTCCTCCCATCCTAACTTGACTCTCCCTCTATCTGTGCTTCTCAAATAATAATTCTCTGATTCCCTTTACCAACTCCTGATAGTTAAAAAGCCAGATCCCAAATATCTCCAGAATACCCAAAAAACTGGTAACACTGGTTGCCTCTATATAGAGGAACTGAATGGCTGAAAAGACTTTTTCTTTTCTTTTTTTTTTTTTTTTTAAAAGATGACCAGTAAGGGGATCTTAACCCTTGACTTGGTGTTGTCAGCACCACGCTCACCCAGTGAGCGAACCAGCCATCCCTATATGGGATCCGAACCCGGGGCCTTGGTGTTATCAGCACCGCACTCTCCCGAGTGAGCCACGGGCCGGCCCCTGAAAAGACTTTTTCTGAATACCCTTTTGCATCCTTGAAGTTGATGAACTTGATCTATGCGAATGTATAACTTATTTTAGAAGTCATACATATTTTTTCTAGAAATGAAGAATATGTTACCAAACTAAGAAGCTCAGTAGAAAGCTCCAATAGTAGACTTGATCAAACAGAGGAAAGAATCAGTGGGCTTAAAGATGGAATATATGAAATTATCCAATCGGAGGAGCAAAACGAAAAAATGAAACAATTGCAGCAATTATGGGACTCCTTCAAGTGAAATAACCTGTGTGTAACACGTGGTATACCTAAAGGAGGTGAAAAACGAAGAGACCTAGAAATCATATTCAAGGAAATAATGGCTGAAAATTTCACAAGTATGGAGAAGACGACAGCATCCAGGTACAGGAAGCTCAGAGGTTTCCAATCAAATTCAACCCAAAGAGGAACACCCTAAGGCACATAATCAAATTATCAAAGACAAAGAAAGAATACTGAGATGAGCGAGAGAAAAGAAACACAGAACATTCAACAGAGGGCTGGCCCCGGGGCTCACTCGGGAGAGTGCGGCGCTGGTAGTACTGAGGCCGTGGGTTCAGATCCTACATAGGGATGGCCGGTGTGCTCACTGGCTGAGTGTGGTGCAGACAACACTGAACTGAGGGTTGTGATCCCCTTACCGGTCAAAAAAAACCCCCAAAATAAAAAAAACATTCAACGGAGCCCCAATAAGGCTCTCAGCAGATTTCTCAGTAGAAAACCTACAGGCCAGAAGAGAGTGGAATGATATATTCAAAGTGCTGAAGGAAAAAGACAGTCAACCAAGAATTCTGTATTCAGCAAAACTAACCTTCAAATACAAAGGAGAAATGAAGTCTTTCCCAGACACACAAAAGCTAAGGGAATCCATCAACACTAGAACTGCCTTACAAGAAATGCTAAAGGGAGCTTTTCGAACTGCAAGATGATGCTAAAGTGTAACAAGAACACATTTGAAGGTACAAAACTCACTAGTAAAGTAAATACACAGACATTCTCTGAATACCCCAATGTTGTAAGGATGGTAATTAAACCACTTACATCCTTACTATAAGACTAAAGGAAAAACCCAAGAAAATAGCAAATTCAACAACCATATAAGAGATAGGCAGTATTAAAAGATGTAACCTGAAACAACAAAATGTCAAAAAGTGGGGAGAATGACGGCAAAGTGCAGAGTTGGCTTTTTTTTTTATTCTTCTTAGTGATCAAAGCTAAGTTGTTATTAGTTTAAAATGATTTTTTTTTTTTTTCATGACCGGCAACAGATCGCAACCCTCAGTGTCGCGCCCATACCGGACCGGGACTGGTAACGGGATCGCAACCCTCGGTGTTGCGCCCGCACCTCGCTCAGCCAGTGAGCGGCCGGTCTGTATGTGGGATCCGAACCCTCGGCGGGAGCGCCACTGCGCTCCCAAGCGGCGCACTGCAGCAGTGCACCACCGGGCCAGCCCCTAAAATGATTTGTTATAACAATACATGTTTTTTGTAAGACTTGTGGCAACCATAACACAAAAACCTGTAACAGACATACTAAAAATAAAAAGTAAGAAATCAAAATATATACTACCAGAAAAGGAAGACAGTAAGACTAGAAAAAAGAATCTATAAAATAACCAGGAAAAAAGTAACAAAATGGCAGTAACATGTCCCTATATATCAATAATAATTCTAAATGTAAGTGAATTAAGTCCCCTAATTAAAAGGTACAGAGTGGCTGAATGGATTACAAAACAAGAACCAACAATATGCTGCCTGCAAGCAGCTCACTTCACCTATAAGGACACACATTGACTGAAAGTGAAGGGATGGAAAAAGATATTTCATTCAAATGGAAATTAAAAAAAACAGGAGCAGCTACACTTATATTCCATAAAATAGACTTCAAGCCAAGAAAAGTAAAAAAAGACAAGGAAGGTCATTATATAATAATAAAGAGATCAATTCAACAAGAGGGTAAAAAATTCCAAATAAATATATGCATGCCCCAACTCTGGAACACCCACATATATAAAGCAAATACTACTAGATCTATTGAAGAAATAGATCCCAATACAATAATAGTTGGGACCTTTAATATCCCTCTTTCAGCAAAGGACAAATCATCCAGACAGAAAATTAACCAAGAAACATCAGAGTTAATCTCCACTCTAGACTGATTAGACTTAACAGACATTTATAGAACATTTCATCCAACAGCTAAAGCATAAACATTTTTATCAGCAGCACATGGAACATTCTCTAGAACAGAACATATGTTAGGACATAAAACAAGTCTCAACAAGTTTAAAAAAATTAAAATCATACCAACTATCTTGTCTGACCACAATGGAATGACACTAGAAATCAATAAAGGAAGGGACACTGGAAACTATATAAATACATGGAAATTAAACAACATGCCTCTAAACAATGAATGGGTTAAAGAAGAAATTAAGAAGGAAATTGAAAAATTCTGGAGACAAATGAAAATGGAAACACAACATACCAGAAGCTATGTGATACAGCAAAAGCAGTTCTAAGAGGAAGCATATCTATTAAAATGATCATATGGTCATTTTAATAAATGCCTACATCAAAAAAGAAGAAAGATTTCAAGTAAACAACCTAATATTGCACCTCAAGGAACTAGAAAAGCAAGAACAAAACAAACTCAAAATTAGTAGAATGAGGGGAAATAACAAAGATCACAGCAGAAATAAATAAGAGATCAAAAAGACAATACAAAAAAGCCAATAAAACAAAGAATTTGTGTTTCAAAGAGATAAACAAAGACAATAAACTTTTAGCTAGATTAAGAAAAGAGAGAAGACTCAAATAAAATCAGAAATGAAAAAGGTGACGTTTCAACTGATACCACAGACATACAAAGGATCATAAGAGACTATTACGGGCAACTATATGCTAACAAACTGGAAAACCTAGAAGAAATGGACAAAATCCTGGACATATGCAATTTAGCAATGTTAAATCATGAAGAACTAGAAAACTGAAACAGATCAATAATGAGTAATGATATAGAAGGAGTAATAAAAAGTCTCCCAACAAAGAAAACCTGAGGACCAGATGGCTTCGCTGCTGAATTCTACCAAACATTTAAAGAAAACTAATACCAATTCTCAAACTCATGTGAAAAATCGAAGAGGAGGGAATACTTTCAAATTCATTCAATGAGGCCAACATTACCCTTATACTGAAACCAGAAAAAGACACAGCAACAACAAAGAAAACTAAAGACTGTTATCACTAGTGAATATAGATGCAAAAATCTTCAACAAAATACAAGTGAACTGAATCCAAGAATACATTAAAAAGATCACTCACTATAATCAAGTGAAATTCATCCCAAGGATGCAAGCATAGTTCAACATACATAAATCAATACATATGATACATTACATTAACAGAATGAAGTAAAAAACTGTATGATCATTTTAATAGATACAGTAAAAACATTTGATAAAATACAACACCTCTTCATGATAAAAACATTCAACAAATTAAGTAGAAGGAATGTACCTCAACACACTAAAGGCCATATATGACAAACCCACAGCTAATATCATACTGAATGGACAAAAGTTGAAGGCTTTTCCTCTAAGATATGGAAGAAGACAAGGATGCCCACTTTCCCCACTCTTATTCAACACAGTAATGGATGATGTAGCCAGCACAATAAGGCAAGAGAAAGCAATAAAGAGCATCTAAATAGAAGAGGAAGTTAAACTATCCCTATTTGCAGATGATATGATCATATACACAGAAAACCCTAAAGACTCCACCAAAAAATTATTAGAACTGATAAATGAATTCAATAAAGTGGCACAAAAAATCAACACAAGGGCCAGCCCGGTGGCGCACTGGAGAGTGCGCCGCTTGGGAGCATGGTGGCGCTCCCGCCGAGGGTTTGGATCCCATGTGGAGACCGTTCCCGCTCACTGGCTGAGCGCGGTGCAGGTGCGACACCGAGGGTTGTGATCCCATTGTCGGTCCCCGGTATGGGCGCGACACCGAGGGTTGCGATCCCGTTACCGGTCAGTAAAAAAAAAAAAAAAAAAAAATCAACACAAAAAAATCAATAGCCTTCCTATACACCAACAATGAAATAGCCAAAGAAGTAATCGAGAAAGCAATACAATTCACAATAGCTACCAAAAAAGTGAAATACCTGGGAGTAAATTTAACCAAGGAAGAGAAAGACCTCTAGAACAAAAACTATAAAATGCTGATGAAAGAAATTGAAGAAGACACAAATAAATGGAAAGATATTCCCTGTTCATGGATTGAAAGGATTAATATCATCAAAATGTCTATATTACCAAAAGCAATCTATAGAGTCAATGCAATCCTTATCAAAATACCAACAACATTCTTGACAAAAATAGAAAAAACAATCTTAAAATTTGTATGGAACCATGAAAGACCCTGTATAGCCAAAGCAATCTTAAATGAAAAGAACAAAGTTGAAGGCATCACACTACCTAACTTCAAAATGTACTATAAAGCTATAGTAACCCAAACAGCATGGTACTTGCATAAAAACAGACAAATTGACTGATGGAGTAGAATAGAGAACCCAGAAATAAACTCACACATTAATAGTCAACTGGTCTTCTATAAAGGTGCCAAAAATATCCACTGGGGAAAGGACAGTCTCTTCAATAAATGGTGGTAGTTAAACTGGATATCCACTTGCAGAAGACTGAAACTAGACCTCTATCATCATACACAAAAATCAACTCAAAATGGATTAAAGACCTAAATTTCAGACCTGAAACTATGAAACTACTAGAAGAAAACAGGGAAATACCACATGAAATGGGAGTGGGCAGCACTTTTTGAACAAGACTACAAAGGCACAGACAACTAAAGCAAAAATAGACAAATGGGACAATATCAGACTAAAAAGATTCTGCACATCAAGGGACACTATCAACAACAGAATGGAAGAAGGTGTTTGCAAACTACATATCAGCAAGGGGTTAATATCCAGAATATATAAGGAACTCAAACAACTCTACAGTAAAAAACCAAATAACCCAGTTAGTAAATGGGCAGAGGACCTGAACAGACATTTTTCCAAAGAAGACATACGAATTGCCAACAGGCACGTGAAAAAATGTTCAACATCACTAATTATCAGGGAAATGCGAATCAAACCTACAATGAGATATCATCTTACTCCAGTTAGAGTGGCTGTTATCAAAAAGACAGAAAATAACGAATGCTGACAAAGATGCAGAGAAAAGGGAACTCTCCTACACTGTTGGTGAGAATGTAAATTGGTACAGCCACTGTGGAAAACAGTATGTAGGTTCCTCAGAGAACTAAAAACTGTGGAATCTAAAAAAAAAAAAAAAAAGCAGTTCTCATAGAACTAGAGAGTAGAATAATTGTTACCAGAGGCTGGGAAGGGAGAAGTTAGGGGAAGGAGAAATGGTGGAGTAATGGGTACAAAACCATGCTATCCACACTAAGTGAATCACTGTACAGTATACGCATGTATTGAAACAACACACTGTACCCCACAAATATGTACAAATAAATGTTAAAGTCAAAATAAAAAATAAAAGTAAAAAAAAAGTCATACACATTTTAAGATGCAAACTCCTGCTTGGAGGGAGGGCACCCATCTTCATGGAAGCTTCTGTTTTTTAAGCTGTCCAGGGATGGAGTAGGTAGATACCCTAAATGTTACACTTGACAGTATTTGGTATGGAAGGCTCTTTTTTTTTTTTTTTTTTCGTGATCGGTAAGGGGATCATAACCCTTGGCTTGGTGTCGCCCGCACCGCACTCAGCCTAGCTCTCAATACAAACACTTAAAAAGCACTATTTGCCAGGCACTAGCTTAAGTGGATTGCATATATTAACTCATTTGATCTTCATAACTGCTACAAGCTAGGTGCTGTTGTTACAGATGAGGAAACTGAAGCTCATAGAGAGAAATTAAGCACTATGCCCAAGGTCCTGCAACTGGTAAGTGGTGGAGAAGGACTCTGAACCCAGGTAGTCTGCCTCACAGTCCATGTATCTAACCACCATGCTGGAAAAGAAAACAAATTTCTAGGGAGAAATGCCTTCTTTCAATAAATCTAAATTATCTTGTGTTGAGTAAAGAATGTAAGTTTTTTTTTTCCTGGCGCCTGCCTGGCAAGGGGATCTGAACCTTTGACCTTGGTGTTATCAGCATAGCACTCTAACCAACTGGGCTAACCAGCCGGCCCTGTAAGATTCTTTTTAAAATCCTACTTTAATAAAAATGCCATGAACCTGTTAAGGGAATGGACTATGAATTATTTATCTCTATATCCCAAGTGCCAAGCCTGGGTTCTGGCAAGGAGGAAATGCTTGCATATTTGTGAAAAGCAAGTCCAGCCCACTCTCTGCACAGAAGCCAGAGTAATCTTCTCAAAACTTAAATTGGGTTATGCCACTTCCCTGCTTACAGCACCTTAAATCTTCCCACTCTCCTCTTCGTCCCATCATGGGACTTTTGCATATGCTGTGCCCTATGTCTGGGTGCCTTCACTCAGCTCTCTGCAAGGCTGGCCTTTCATCCTTCAAGTCTCAGCTCAACTGTCACCTCCTCAGGGAGGACCTCAGTGACAATGCTAGTGTAAATTTGCCACCCCCCCCCATTGTTGTCTATCTCAGCTCATTGCTTATTTTCTTCCCGATACTTTCACACTTTGTGATAACTGTATACAATGTTTATTTTTGTCACCCCCTCCCCACTCCCCAAGCTTAATAAGGGCAAAGATCCAGTCTATTGAATCCCTAGTACCTAGCTCAAAACCTGGCCCATAGTAGGTGCTCGGTAAATATTAGTTGACTAAAAGAACTGGACTAAAGAAAGTAGTCAGCTAGTAGCAGCAGTGACTTCCAAATGAACAAGTTAGCAGCCTCCTGTGTGAGAAGGCAGCAGGATGCACGTAAATGTGCTTCTGAGCTGCCTCCTCTGGAAGCAGAGAGCCACACAAGAGCCCACTGCTCTGCTGGCGGGTCACCTACAAAGTCTGCTTTGGAGCCCAGGCGCTGCCTCTGGTCCTTGTGGAGAAGGCCTTGCAGGAGGTCGCAGGCGGCCACTGTCCGACCCCCAGGGATCTGTAGCGGCTGGTGCAGAATGTTCTCATACATCTGGGACAGATCTCGGCTGTAGAAAGGAGGCTGGTGGGGGGGGATGGGGAGAAGCTGGAGGATCACCCATTCAAAAGTGGGCATAGGTCTTAGGGAAACATGGGCAAGCTGGGCAGTTGGGAGGATCCAGCCAAGCCCATGTCTTGTGCACACATGGCAGACCCAAGAGAGACAGAATCTCCAGGCTTCCAGCATAGTGCAGAGGGTTGCTGGGAAGGCCAAAAATCTTCCTCACTAGAGTGAGGCTCATGGACCTCCCAGAAGCATCCATCATCTCATCTCTCACAATCCAGCTTGTGCACTAACTTTGCACTTAGCAAAATTAACACTTTGACCTTCATCATTTTATCTCAGTCTCATCACTATTCTCCAAGAGAGGTTGTAATTTTTCAGATGAGAAGGCAAGGCCCAGAGTGATTAAGCCACACACTTAGCAAGAGAGCCAGGCCCCAAACTGTAGCCAGGGTCCACTTCTCTTTCCTGCTGCTCTTCCTTCCAGTCCTCTACCAGCTATTCCTGATTTGGCAAAGCCTGATCCTTCACATGCACTGAGCCATGTTGGTGAAACCAGCCAGGAAAGCATGGCCTGGGTGAGTCTATGCATGCCTCCACCTAAGCAGGCAGCCTAGGACTGAGTTTAGGGGTTGGTTCCGCAGTCTATAAGGACTGTGACCCCTCTTGGCCTCAGTTTTGCCCTCGGGAAAATAAGAATAACTCCATTTCCCGTACTGTCAACCCCCAAAGGCTATTTTGAGGCACTGAACAATGTGTTGTAAACTGTAAAGTGCTGAACAAACGTTATTGAAACAATATATGATTCTCACACATCATCTTTTTTAGCTTGGAATGAAGAGATTGTTTAGTTCCCTGAGCAGAGTTTGAACAGACCACATGAGGGACAGTCTCACCCCCAGCTCTCCCCAGAGCCAGATGTCCCTTGTAGATGGCTACACACTACTTACCAGGCCATGCAGCATCTCATACAGGACTGCCCCCAAGCACCACCAGTCCACTGCCCGATCATAAGGCTGTTTACGAAGCACTTCAGGAGCCAAGTACTGTTAGAAGGAAGCACACTTATTTGAAAGATCCTTAACCTCAGTTGCCCCATCTGTAAACAAGACACTTGGAGGAAGATCACAAAGGGTTGATCATGTAGTGATATTCACATGGCTGTTCATGTGTTCATTCAGCATCCATCATCAAAGGCCTGCTTTGTGCAAGGCCCTTTGCCATGTGCTGGGGACACAGCGGAAATCATGCAATACGGCCCTCTACAGTTGTATGTGTTGTGCACCACACAAAAGTACTAGCCAAGGGGTTAAAAGGAACTGTAATCCTGGCTGTGATCCACTCACCAAGCCATAACCCTAATTCAGAGGTATATCTGGCAACTTTATTATTGTTTAAAGGGGTGCTTTTTAAAATTAGTCCACCCAGAAGGGGTGTTTTCTTCTAACTTGCACAAAGGCATCCAATGGGCTATCAGTGTCCTGGGAATGGGAAAGCCCTGGGAGTACTCTCACAGTGCAGTGGGGAGACTAATGGGTAAAGTCTAAGTGATGTAGCATGTACTTGTAGTGGAAATCTTAGTGACAGGGTCAGGAAGGAGGAGGAAATCTTAGTGACAGGGTCAGGAAAGAGGAGATGACATTTGAGTTCACACTGATAAATGATTACACGACATGCCTCTAAACCTTGCACAAGAACCTTAGGCAGAGATGGGCTTTCTGCCAAACCCAACGCTTGGTGACCTCTTAGCCTGCTGTCTCTGCCACTGAGGAGAGGGGTCTCAGCAATAAGCAAAGCTACCCTCAGAGACTGCATGGGTCTGGGGAAGGGCAGAGTTACATAGGCCTGAGGTCTACTTTATGTATTGTCTCAGGCAGGTCATCTAACCTCCCAGAACCTTTCTCTCACCCATATAATGGGGATGCAGAATTCCTCCTGGGAGCTGTTTTAAGGATATGTGCTAATATGTGTGCAGGCCCTTGAGCAATGGGAATAATTGTGGCTACTCTCGTCTGTGCTCCTTGGTACCACAGCAGTGGCCGAGTCACAGAATGATAGAGTTTGGATGTTATTGTCTCCCCAAAACTCATGTGGAAATCTGATTCCCAAAGTGGCAGTGTTGGGAGCTATTTGAATCATGGGGGTGGATCCCTCATGAATGGATTAATGCTCTCCCTGGGGGGTGGGGGTAGTGAGTGAGATCTCGCTCTATTAGTTCCTGGTAGAGCTGGTTGTTTAAAAGACCCTGGCACCTCCCCTCTCTCTTTCTTGCTTCCTCTCACCATGTGATCTGCTTGTACCTGCTGGCTGCCTGCCGCTTTCCGCCATGAGTAGAAGCAGCCTGAAGCCCACACCAGATGCAGCTGTCCCAGAATCGTGAGCCAAATAAAACTCTCTTCTTTACAAATTACCCAGTCTTGGGTATTCTATTATAGCAACACAAAACAGACTAATACACGGAAGTCACATGTTGGTGCCACGTGTCTCTGACACAAGTCAGGGTTCGATTTCCCCTGTCCCCACCCTTAGCAGTGTCCAGGGAAGGGCTGGCTGGGCTGTCAGGCTTTGGGGGTCAACTTTGTCCAGTGAACCTGCTCCCACACACAAACACGGACCATGGCTCCTGTTCAGAGAGATCATCTGTCCATCAGCTACCCTAGAACCAAACTGAGGAGGCCCATCTGAGATCCGGGACTCAGATGTTTAAGCACATGGAGAAAAAGAGTAGCTGGAGTCCTGCCCCAGGTCAGGTGGGGAGGAGATTCCCAGTCTGCATTCTCAGCTTTCTACCCACACCCTAATGTCTGTCCAAGCCACTGGGAATCCCTTCAGGTCCAAAGTCCAAGGTCCAAAACTGGTAGGAGTTCAAGGAAAGGTTTTTAACTCCAGGGTGCAGGGAGGCCTTGGCAGGATAAACATATGTGAATTACTGCTGAGACCTGCAAATTTTAACCCTCCAGGCTCTTGGCTGCTGGAAGAGGAAGGTGCAACTATGTCTTAAGTTGCAAGCCCTGATCTTAACTTTCAGGCCAAGTCCCATTGCACATGTACTTCATACTGTAGGGCACTGCTGTTCAACAGCAGCCCCTAGACACACATGGCTATTGAACACTTAAAATGTAGCTGGTCTGAATTGAGATGAGCTATAAGCATAACACATAACAGATTTCAAAGACTTAGAAGAAAAGAAATGAAAAAAATTTCAACAATTGTATGTTGAAATGAGAATATTTTGGATATATTGAGTTATTAAAATATATTATTAAAATAATTTCACCTGTGACTTTTCTACTTTTTTTTCCCCCCCCGGTGGCTGGCCTAACCCTTAGACCTTGGTGTGTTGTCTAACTGGCCAGCCCCACCTGTTACTTTTTCATCTTTAAATGTGGCTGTTAGGAAATTTTAAATTGTGAATGTGGTTTGCATTTTAAAAAATTTATTTATTTTCAAGCACAATGAAAGGACATCATGCATTTCTATTTCTATTTCTATTGGACAGCACTGCCAGGGAGCTGCACCAGCAGCAGCTGGCTGGGTTTCAGAAGCCCTAGAGCTGGTGTCCCCATTACACAGATGAGGAAACCAAGTGTAGTGGATTGAATTATGTCCTCCCAAAACTCATTGAAGCTTGAATTGTGTCTCCCAAGTTTCATGTATTAGAAACTTGGCCCCCACTGTGACTGTTAAGAAGGTGGGAAATCCTATTATGGTAATTGAAAGGTGGAACCTTAAAGAGGTGATTGGATTATAGGACCATGCCATAGTGAATGGATTAAAAATGGTGGTAAGGGGTGTGATGCTGAGGGCTTTAAAAGAAGAGCAGAGTCTGTCTTTCTCTCTCTCTGCTTCCACCATCTTGCAATGTAAGACCCTGGGTCACTGTTGCCACCACCAGATGGACTTTGGACTTCCCAGCCTCAGAAACTGTAAGCAATAAATTTTCTTTATAAATCACCCAGCTTCAGGTATTTTGTTATAAGCAACCTATACATACTAATACACCGAGGCTCAGTGCACAGCCAGCTCAGGGGAAGTGCTTGGGTAGATGGATTGAGTCCCCTCAGCTGTAACCTATTGTCTCTAATCCAGAGCTGTGGCCCCAACCACTAGTGGCCTGCCCTCTCCTAGGACGGTTGTACTTACCTCAGGAGTGCCACAGAACGTGGATGTGGTCTCCTCGGGCTCTACACCTTCCTTGCAGAGGCCAAAATCAGTCAGCACCACGTGTCCCTGAGTATGAGGGAGGACAGGACCAGGAGGGTTGTCTAAACTGAGGATATGGGCAGGCGTCACCCCAAAGCCCAGATACCACATACCAGGGAACTGGCTATGGGGTCTGATAGCTGAGTACTGGCTGGAGGCTCCACTAAGACCCACCATAAAGGGCAAGGTGGGAACATGGCATTCCATTGTATGTCCCCAGCTCATCAAGACCAAGACCCATCCCTGCAACAGTGGCAGCTCCAGGATGTCTTTGCTGGATAGCAACCCCTTTAACAGAGGGCTGGGGACTCAGAAAGCAACCACAACTGTGGGAGCCAGGCAGAGGGTGGAGTGAGTGGATACTGCTGGCTCTGCCCAGATCCCCTCTTCCAGAGATGCCATGCCTGTCCCTCCGCTGCTGGGACACTGCCCTTGCCCAAAGTTATGGTCCCTCCCTAGGGTCAACCCACATGCAGTGACTGCATTTCATAGGCCCAGCCCCTTGCTTCAAGTTGGGACAATCTCAAAGAACCATCTACCCACTTCCATAAGATCAGCTGAGATCTCACAACCACAATGCAGGTGAGCTTTTTCCTCTGCTCAATCCTGTCTTCTTCACCCCCTTAAAGGTGTATCTCTTGAGAGTGCTCCCCAATAAACCTTCTGCACTCACCTTTCTATCTCAGAGTCTGCTTCCAGGGAACCCAGTCTGAGATGAAGTCCACTAGCCTCCACTTTTCTCTGTCCTTGCCCCACATGGACCTCGCATACACACACACACACACACACACACACACACACACACACACAGAGTCTTATGTGCACACAATGCACGTATACATGTGTGTACATCTGAATGGGCACACAACGCATACACATACTTGAATGCATCTGCCATCCATGTGGCACACATATGCAGCCATGCTCATAGGCATACACACACATACCAACCTGACAGTCCAAGAGAATGTTCTCTGGTTTTAGGTCCCTGCAGAAAATAGGAGAAAAGAGCCCTGTGGTGTCTCAGCCATGCAGTGAGAAGACTTGGAGACCTGGGGTCCTGGTGGGAGAACTATTCATGGAGGCTCCCAGAGATGCAGAGGAAGAGGCCAGAGAGGCTGGCACTTGGTTCTATTGAGGAGGAGCTCTCAATTCCACCCCAGCTGATGGACCCTCCTCTGCAGACAAGAGACCATGTACACTGGATTTTGTCAGGATTCAGGGGTCTGGGCAAGCCCTGGCTGTTGGAGCAAGAAGGGCCTGGGCCTGGCTCTGAGCCCCAGGCAGGCCTCACCTGTAAATGATGTTGAGGGAGTGCAGATAGCCAATGGCACTGGCCACCTCGGCTGCGTAGAACCGGGCCCGGGGCTCCAGGAACCGGTGTTCCCGCTGTAGATGGAAGAAGAGCTGGAGGGGAAGGAGACATGTAAGAAGAGTTCCTAGGGGCTCCAACTCCTAGAGTGCAGGGTAGGGACCCATGGGATCCTCACCCTGTGCCAGTGGCCAAGTCACCCCCTCTCTGAGCTGCAGCGTATTCCAGCCAAAAGAGTGCATGCTGGTCCGTGCCCCGCAGAGCAATCTCAGGTGTCCAAAGTGTCAGCAGAAGGGATTAATTAGCATTGATTAAGCACCTACTGTGTTCCAGTTTCCAAGTTAGTCGCTTTCACATCTATTATCTCATTTAGTCCTTATGACAACCTTCCAGGTACAAATATTATGCCAGTTTCAAGTAAGAGTAAGCTGGGAGGGGTCAGAACAGTTAGGTGACTTGCAAAGGGTCATATAGCCTGTAGTTGACAGAGCTAGGATTTGAACTTGGGTGGCTCAAAACTGATTTTCCGAGCCGGCCCGTGGCTCACTTGGGAGAGTGTGGTGCTGATAACACCAAGTCAAGGGTTAAGATCCCCTTACCGGTCATTTTTTTTAAAAAAAAAACCGGAAAGGGGGGTTTAACCCCTTTTTTGGTGGTTTTAGCCCCCCCCCCCCCCCTAGCCCCTAGCCGACAGAGCTAGGATTTGAACTTGGGTGGCTCAAAACTGATTTTCCGAGCCGGCCCGTGGCTCACTTGGGAGAGTGTGGGGCTGATAACACCAAGTCAAGGGTTAAAATCCCCTTCCCGGGCCTTTTTTTTAAAAAAAAAAAAAAAAAAAAAAAAAAAAAAAACCAACCTGATTTTCTTCCAGTCTAGGCAATAAGATGATTACAGGTATCAAACTGAGCCCAGGTGAGATCTGCCTGGGGCTAATTCTTTGGTCTACTTTGCTGGTGCAGAAAGCCCTGCACTTAGGGACGCAGGACAAAAACTCTCCTTTTGGCATCAGACTGAAGGGCATGAGGTCACACAGCTTCAATCTGGGGTCACTGAGGGGAGCCCCATTGCATTTTTCCATCTTGCCCAGAGAGACAGGGTGATGTCCAGTAGGGAGCCCAACTTGTCCCAGCTATGCTTCTGCGTCATCAGTTGGTTGCAGGTCTCTGTCTACCACAGTGACTGGTCATTCCCACCCCGTGGCCTATGATATAAAATGGGAGCACTGGAAATGTGGGCCACAGAATTCCTCTTAGGATTGACCCTTCCCAGGTCTACAAAGTGTGGGCAGCTTCGCATGAGGAAGCAGAAAAGCGTTATGGCTGGGAGTCAGGCAGAGCCGCATTCAAATCCTGGCTCAACCAGGTGTTGGAATGAGCAGGACTGAAGCCATGTTGGGACCTAAAACTGCATGGGCTCTAAATGATTTTAAAAGCACACAGGTTTTTCTTGGCATGCATTTCTCTGAGTTCCCTCTTTTCCCATGGTTATTTGATATTTTGAACCTTGGTTATGAGGCAAGATGACATTATTTACATGAATGTAAAGTTGCTTTCCAGTCAGCCTGGAGCAGCTTACTTGCTACAAGACATGTTGCTATCCAGACTCTGAGAAACCGAGGAAGACATCAATAAAGCTATGCTGATTCCACCCCTCCAGCAGGACCCTGAGATAACAGCAAGTGCAGGAGTAGAAACCAGACGGAGCCTTGGTGAGACCTTAAACATGGCTCTTCGCATAGAGCCCCCACAGATCACGTGCCCCTCCCTCCTACTTTTCATTTCCCATGTTCTATTCCCGCAACCCCCTCTTTAAAAACCCCTCAGTAAATCTGAGTCTTTAAGATGGCTTTAGTCTGGCCATGCTCCTTCAGGTTTACTGGAGAGATGGGTTAGCCTCACATCTCTCCTCAGGCTACTGGTACTCTTGAATAAAGACTGACTTCCATTTTCACCAACATTTGACTTTTGAGTGTTTTTTTTGTTTTGTTTTGTTTTTAAAGATGACTGGTAAGGGGATCTCAAGCCTTGACTTGGTGTTGTCAGCACCACGCTCTCCCAAGTGAGCTAACCAGCCTTCCCTATACAGGGATCTGAACCCGTGGCCTTGGTGTTATCAGCACCACACTCTCCCAAGTGAGCCACTGGCCGGTCCGTTGTATTTGAAAGGAAGCAGGCAGCCAGACCTGGGTCTGGTAATGCAGCTACAGGCTGGGTGGCCTTGAGAGAGTGACTTACCTCCCTGAGCCTCAGTTTCTTCAGCTACAAAATGGGTTCTATTGTAAGGATGAGGTGAGATCATTACAGAACTTGGTATGCAGTGGACATGTGGGATGGATAGCTCCCTGCCAAGAACCAACCTAGGGAAGCCTCCCTGCGGATCTACCCACCTCTCCCCCGTTGACATAGTCAAGCACAAAGTAGAGCTTCTCTGGTGTCTGGAAGGAGTAGCGCAGGCCCACGAGGAAGGGGTGCTGCACATTCTTCAGAAGCACACTGCGCTCTGCCATGATGTTGCTCTGCTGTGGATCACACAGACAGGGGTCCATGTCACAGCCCACCACACCCCTTTTGTCCTAGCACAGTCCACATGGCCTCACTGGTAGGAGGTGTCCTGCCCAGGACTTTCTCATGCCCTTGCTCAAACACCCATGATGGCTCCCTATTGCCCTCTAAGCCAGGCTCAGGTGCCTTGCCTAGTATTTAGGGCTCAGCATGGTCAGCCTCATCCCCAGCCACTCCATGTGGGTGCAGCTCCAGTCCCTGGATCAGAAACCCCTGCTCCTGGTGAAAAGCAAAGCATATATGATGACTACATACGTGAGTCCCAAGGAGTACCTCTAAGAATAAGCAGCCACACACTATCCACATTCATGCCTAGCTTGTGCTGTTCCCCTGATCGGATGTTCTACCCTCTTTTGGACCATCAGAATTCTACTGTCAAGGCCAGCTGCAAGGCTGCCTCCCTCAGGAAGACCTCTCCTCTCCACCCCCACGATATCCTTGTCGACATTAATCACTGTCTATCCTGAGTCCCCTGACTTCATATTCAATCCTTTCTCTCTGCCCTACTAGCTGGGCCTGGTGTTAAAGGAACTCAGGTCACTGATGCATCAAGAAATCCAGAATGGCCTTGGGTGGAAGGGCCTTTGGAGATATAAAGTGTGAGCTCTCATCGCACCGATGGGGAGCCAGGCACCTGGAGAGGGCGGAAGACTAGTCCATCATTTCCCAGGGGAAGGCAGAGGCCAGGACTGGTCTTCCTAAAGGCCCCATGGGTGAGTTGGCTTGGCCTGCCTTCTTTGAGAAGGGTCAACGTTCTTGACACCACCTGCCCAGCCCCCTGCCACACCCCTCACTGCTGTGACCACCTCTGCACACAGCCCCATGAGCCTCTTAGAGGTGGGACCCATTTCTGGAAGCCACCCTAGGCTGGGGGTAAGGAAGAAGAAGAGGAAAGGCCTGGTCCTGAGCTCTGGTACCTCTTTCTTCTTTAAGATAGACTTTTTCTGCAGCACCTTCACAGCATAGAACATCCCGTCGGACTTGCGCTTGGCCAGTAGGACCTGAGCAGAAGCACAAATGCAAGGCCCATGGTGGTGACTGTGGATTTCCTGGTGGCAGCACAGGGACTCCAGCCCCTCCCTGCTCCACTCTGCAGGTATGTGAGCTCTCTCTTTTGCACATGCAGTGGCCGGCAGGGGGAGGAGAAGGCTGGAGGAAGAGACTCAGGCCTTCACCTTCACCAAGTCACTCACCTTCCCATAGTTCCCTTTCCCAATGACTTTGAGGAAGTCGAAGTCTGTGGGCCTGGCACTGAGGAAGAGGGTAAAAACACAGATCAGCATTCGAAATTTCCAGAAACCTGGTGCCTAAGAACAAACCCAGGCTTCTTTTTAACTTCAGAGCTGGAAAATGCAGGGAGCCTTCCAGAAGCCAGGCCTCCTGGCCACAGCCAAGGGAGGGCTTATAAGACTCACCCCTGCCCCAGGAAAGCCTCCATTCAAGTTAACAGCAGGCAAGGTGGAGATCAACCCAGCCACAATTACATAGAAGGTCTGCATAGGAGGCAGGCTTCTGTCCCGCCACACTCTGAGAATGCAGATGTTTGGGAGGAATTCCAGGCAGAGGGTTCAGTATGGGTGGGCACAGGCTGGGGAATGACTGGGAGATAAAGCTGGGGAGGGTCCTAGGCTCACATGGCAGAGTCTTGAACACTAGACCAGCAAACTTAGATTTTATTCCCAAGGTAAGGGGAGCCAGGTATGAGGGGAGCCAAGTAGGAAAGAAAGGTGCTGGAGAGACCAGAACTCACTTTAGGTTGGCTGAAGGCCCCAGGCTGATGTTCCCATTGGCCCTTGAGGGCTAAAGACATTCAAGGAAAGAGGTGAGTAGGATGAGCAGGTTCCTACTCCTCAGTGCCTCCCTTTCCCCTGGCCCAGGCCCTCATCCCTTCTCTGACATCACTGCTAGGCTCCCTCCCTCCCTCCTTCCCTTCCTTCCTTCCTTACTTCTTTCCACCCACCTACCTGCCCAGCCACCCGCCCACCCACCTGCCATCTCACCTGCTTCTTGTCACAGCCTTGGGAGGCTGCGGCTGTTGTGCCAGCAGTGAGGGTGGGGAGACTAAGGCCCAGAGAGGAGTTGTCCAAGGTCTCACAGGCAACCAGGCTGGGAGTAGAACCCAGGTGTCCTCACGACCAATCCCATGATTTTTGGCCAATCTCACCCCACCTACTTCTGGAAGCCCTGGCCCAAACCTTTTCTCTATTTATTGTGTAAATAGCCTACTTCTGGGTGCTCACGGTGATCCCAGTTGGCCCTCAGTTCTGGTCTGGGACAGCCCACAGGGCTGGCTGGTGTCTCTACAGATTCCCCCTACCTTGGGTGGATGCGAACCCCTGACAGTGGGTGGTGGAAGAAGAACCACTCACCTGTGGACTTGGCATCCCAGCTGGGCACGAGGCCATTCTGAAGAAGTGACCAGGTGGGCGGGCTCTGGGGGCACAAGGAGGAGCAGACATGAGAGAGCTGGTGTTGGGGGTTAGTGTCACCTGTCTGGGGCTTCAGGCACTGCTGCCCTCTCCACCCTCCCCAACCCTGTGCCCGTGCCACAGCCTGAACATCCCCTACCCCAGAGGCCAGCAACCCCTGCATGGATGGGATTAGAAATGACAGCTCCTGGACCCACCTTTCTAACTAAACATCTCAGGAGGGATGGCAGGGGATGGTCAAGGTTAGCCCTTCCCAGGCTGAGTCTTTTCAAGGGTTGGGGACAGCCAGGACAGCAAGACCCCCGTGACCCAGGGCAGCTCTAGAGTCCAGGATGGCCAGGGCTGGAAGGACCCTTGCAGGGCATAGTCTGAACCCTTTCTCCCATTTTACAAATGGGGAACCTGAGGCCTAGGAAAGGGTCACACAGTTTGTGAGGGGCATCTTTGCTCCCCAGACTCCCCCACAGGCCTGCAAGCAACCCTGAATTCCTGTGGACAATCCCAGGCTGGGCTCTGTGCTGACTATTATCTTCTTGCCACAAGGACTTTCACTGAATGCCTCAAGAATGGTGGCTACCCTGGCAGTTTTGGGCTGGAGCTGCAGAGAGACTCAAGACTGGTCAGTGTCTACTTGAGGTCAGACAGCAGAGGATGTGACCACTGGGTCTGTGCACCAGGAGCACAGTGTCTTCCCTGCCCCCATGCTGCAGGGTGGAGGAGGCCATGGTGCCCAGGCTCTGGATCAGAGTGCTCAGGGCCCCACAGCCTCATCCTCGCTTGGAAGGTCAATGCCAAGAGCAGAGATCTCACCTGACAGTCCAGTTGCTTGAAAGGGCTACTGGGCACTGCACATCCCAAGACCACAGCCTTGGCTCATTCTCTGAGTAGAGACTGCCCAGCTGTATGAGGCGGGTGCTGAAGGCACCGCTCCATGGCCTTCTTAGGAGCTGAGAAAGTGCCCACAGGGGAAGGCAGGGAATACCATAGCCAGGCTGCTCTGAGAGGCCCAGCCCTGCCAAGCCCAAGAGAATAAGCTGCAGAACTGCCGAAGAGGGAGTGCAGCCTGGCTTTGGCCAGTGCCCACCGGTCTGTGCTCCCACAGACAGCCCACAACACTGCCACCGCCTCTCTTAGGCTGACCATGGTGGCCCCTCTGCTAGACCCTGGCCTCCCCAGCCCCACATACCTGTGCAGACTGAGGAGAGGCCGCTGGGAGAACCAGCAGCTGGAGCAGAGGCCAGGCAGTGGACAAGAGAGCCTCTCTCTGTTCTCCCAACAAGGGCCGGAGTGTCTGTGCCTGGTGCTGGCCTGGCCCCAGCACAGAGCTCACAGCTCCCACAGTAGCAAAGAGGCTCGTTGATGTCACGTGGGATCCAGCAGAGCTGAAGATGGGACCAGAGACCTCTGTTCCCTTGGGGACATCATCTCCCCCTGGGGGATGGGTTGGAAGCGGGGTGTGCAACAGCTCCAGGAGAGCCTTGGAGATTTGTGGGGCTTGTTAGAACGTGTGTGACTATGTGGGACAGGGTGTGTGAGTGTAGTGTGCATGTGCAAGTATTTTGTGCATAGGTGTGTCTCTGGTGTGTCAGTGCAGCTCTGTATTTCAGGTATGTGTCAGTGTGTGTGAGTCTGTGTGTAGACGATGGCATGCAGGTGTCAGTGTGGCCACATTTGCATACTACGTCCGTGTGTGTCTGTGTATCTGTGACTGTGTGCGTCATTGGGTTTCTTAGTTTGTATGTTGTATGTATGGATGTGTTTCTGTGTGTCTCTTTGTAGTAGCATGTGACAATGTGTATCTTTATATGTTAATGTGCTTGTGTCAGTGTGCTTGGGTGTATATATAGTTGACTGTGAGTCTTACGTGGGTGTTTATATGTGTGTTTGCAGATGAGTATGCGTGTCTATTAATATGTGCATGACAGTGTAACCACATGTATGTGTATAGGCATGTCATTCTGTGTCTGTGTTCACATTGCTATATATCAGTTGTAGTGGATTGAATTATGTCCCCCCCAAACTCATTGATACTTGAACTGTGTCCCCCACATTTTATGTATTAGAAACTTAGCCCCCTCTGTGACTTTTAAGAGGGTGGGAAATCCTATTATGGTAATTGAAAGGTGGATCCTTGAAGAGGTGATTGGATTGTAGGACCATGCAGTACTGAGTTGATTAATAATGGTGGCCAGGGGCCCGGATCTGAGGGCTTTAAAAGACGAGAGAGGAGTCTGTCTTTCTCTCTGCTCTCTCTGCTTCCACCATCTTATAATGTGAGACCTCTGGGTCACTGTTGCCACCACCAAATTGACTATGGACTTCCCAGCCTCAGAAACTATAAGCGAGTAAATTTCATTTTCTTATAAATTACCCAGTTCCATGTATTTTGTTGTAAGCAACAAAAACGGATTCATACAACAGTAAATTTCTGTGTGTGTGCACGTGTACAAATGCACACATGTGTAGGGGACCTGTATGTAGGAAGATATGATCCCTCGGGCCTATCCAGGCCCTGTGCAGACCATCTGGGACTGCAGAAGAGGTCCCAGAGACCTTGGCCATGGCAGCTGAGAAATCTTTGCCTCCCAAGAACCTGCAGAGCCTGGGTGTCTGGCTCAGGCCAGCTGGCCTTGGTCTTTGACTGCTGAGCACTTAGCCCTTAGGGCCTTTCCCTGCTGGCCCCTCGAGGGCTCTGTCCTGCTGTTTCCAGGGCAGGCCTGGTTGGCCCGCAGCTCTCCTGCTGTGTGAGAATCGGGGTCTCAGCTCGTGAAGACTTTGCTGCCTGGTGCGATCATTAGGTACTTACACATCCCTTTCTTTCCCTAGGAGCTCACGCGGGGTGGGAAGGTGTTTTGGGGAATGGAGTTGACAGACCCAACAGAGCCTCTGCCCTTCTGGAGCTTTCTGTGTGGCTATACTATACTACAGGGAGGGATCCAGGTAACAGGAGCTGAGGAGATTGGTCAGGGAGGGAACTGAGCCCAGTGGCCTGAGAGGACCTCGGGGTGTTGGCCAAAGAAAACTCATGAACAGCAGAGCCTTTCATTTTTCAACAAAATAGAAAATGTTGAGCCAATATGCAGGATATGTTGACAAAACAGACACCCAGAACACAGACATTTCTTTTCAATAACAAGACCCTGATGGGATGTTCATTCAGCAACACGTTTATAACAGCACAGTAATCGTGATAATGATAACCTAAATGTCCCACTGCAGGACAGTTCAGAAGACCCGCCAGCCACATTAGCTCCCTCTCTTGACCTTGCACCCTGTCCAGATTCTGTCCCATTTCTGTTTTCCTTTTCAGTTAAACTCCTTGAAAGAGCTGTATAGACTCACCGTCCCCATGCTCCTTTTCTCTCTCGAACCTATTCCAAAGAGGCTTTCATCCCAACACTCCAAGGAAACAGTAGACAGTGGCCTCCATGTGCCAAAGCCAGTGAAATCTGCATCCTCATGCATTCAAGTTCTCTGAAGGATCTGTCACACTCGCTTTACCCACCTGGCTTCAGGAGCTCCTAGTTTTCCTTCTAGCCCGTTGACGGCTCTTTCTCCATCTCTTATGCTGGATTTTCCTCCAAAATGGCCTATCCCAGGGTCTGGTCATTGGACCTCTATCTACACTTGTTCCCAAGTTGATTGCAACCAGTTTAATGGCGTTAAAGACCAGTTATAATAGACAGTTCCCAGTTTATTTTTCTAGTTCTGATTCTCTCCTGAACGCTAGACATATATCGAACTGCTTCCTCAACAATTCACTAGCTAGATGTCTAGAAGCATCTCAATCTTAACATGTCCAAAACAAAGGTCTCAACTCACATTCCTGCCACTCTGCTCCAGCCTGCTCCTTCCTCAGGCTTCCGTTTCACAAATGGCACTGCCACCTACCTACTTAACAGTTCAAGCCAGCAACTTGGAATTTGTTCTAGAAACCTTGCACTCTCTCTTTCCTCGCCCGGGGGCACATTCATTGGTCAAATTCTATCACATGCACTGAACATATTCAAGAATATTCTGTGCTTGAAGTACACAAATAACCGCGATACCAGGAGGAAGGTGATAAGTCCCGAGAAAGATCTACACAGTGCTACAAAGGCACCCAGAGCGACCGGTCGTCTGCCCCTAGCAGAAACCTGGAAGACTTCCTGGGTGAGGCAGTGCCGAGCAGGGTTGTGAAGGCCCGGCTGATAGACGAGGGCTGCAGAAGACATGTCCCAGCCCAGCCTAGTGAGCACAGAGTGGAGAGACATCCGGCTAGGGAGGCAGAGACTTGGCAGAAAACACACACACTGCAGGGCTGCCACTGCGAGATCCAGCGGCCCAGACTACTGCACACAGAGTGGGGAGACGTCCGGCTAGGGAGGCGGAGACTTGACAGAAACCACACACCCTGTGGGGCCACCACTGCATGATCCAGCAGCCCGGGCCAGAGTGCACGGAACAGGGAGAAGTCCCACACAGGAAGTGGAAGCTCAGCAGAGACCACACAACCTGTGCTACCATCCTGTGATCCAGCAGCCCAGCAGAGTCCAAGCTGACCAGAGAGGTGGCA